CAGTTGACATCAATACATGAGAAAACCCTCGAAAAAATAATTAAGCAACAGATTTGTGAGGACCTAGAAAATAACAAGGTGATTACTAGAAGCCAGCATGGGTTTATTAAGAACAGGTCATGCCAAACAAATCTCATTGCCTTATTTGATAAAGTGACTAAATTAGTGGACCAAGGAAACACTGTGGATATAGTATACTTTGACTTCAGTAAGGCATTTGATAAGGTAGACCACAACCTACTTATGTGTAAGATAGAACAAAATGAGATAGACAGCGCAACTACCAGATGGATTTGCAGCTGGCTGACCAACCGCACTCGACATGTAGTCCTCAATGCAACCACATCTATTTGGAGGGTAGTGTGCAGTGAGATCCCTCAAGGTTCTGTCTTGGGCCCAGTGCACTTCAACATCTTCATAAATGACCTGGATAAGAGGATTCAAGGAGCACTCATCAAATTTGCTGATGACACAAAGCTGGGGGGAATTGCTAATACTTTGGAAGATAAACAACATTCAGGGGGATCTAGACAAACTTGAATATTGGGCCCTATCCAATAAGATGTAGTTCAGTGGTGGGAAAGCCATTCAGAAGGATCTAGACAGACTTGAATAATGGGCCCTATCCAATAAGATGTACTTCAGTGGTGGGAAAGCAAGGTCCTGTGCTTAGGCAGGAGAAACCAGATGCACAGGTACAGGATAGGATAGGTGGTACCTGGTTCAATAGTAGTACCTGTGAGAGGGATTTAGGTGGACCACCACCTTAGGTGGACCACCACCTAAGGATGAGTCAGCAGTGTGCTGCAGCTGCCAAGAAAGCCAGCACAGTCCTAGGCTGCATAAACAGGAGGAGAGCATAAAGATCACGGGAAGTGATAGTACCACTCTAAATGGCACTGGTGATGCCACACTTGGAATGCTGTGTCCAGTTCTGGTCACCACAATACAAAAAAAAAGTTGCTGAGGCCCTGGAAGGGGTGCAAAGAAGAGCAACAAAGATGATAATGGGACTGGAGGCTAATTCCTATGAAGAACTACTAAAATAACTAGGTATAGCTTAACAAAGAGAAGACTGAAGGGAGACGTGATAGCAGTCTTCCAATATCTGAAGGGTTACCACAGGAAAAAGCGCATTGATTTATTCTTCATTGCACCTGAGGGTAGGCCAAGAACCCTCAGTGGATGAGTGGAAACTCATCAAAAGGAGATCCAACCTGGAGATAAGGAGGAATATCCTGACGGTGAGAACCATTAAGCAGTGGAACAGGTTGCCTCCTGATGATGTGGGTGCCCCATCGCTTGAGATTTTCAAGAAAAGATTGGACCGCCATCTGTCCAAGATGGTATGAGGTCTCCTGCCTTGGGCAGGGAGTCAGACTAGAAGACCTCCAAGGTCCCTTCCAACAGACTGCCTGGTACTGTACTGCCTGGACTGTATTTTCCCTGCCTTCCCTGAACCTTTCTTGACCTAAGAGAAAAAGAAACAATAGTGGTCGAAGGCAGAATAGCAGCTTCCCATTAGTTTCTATGGACGGAAAAGAGCAGATACGGATCAAATGGTTTTCAGTGCATTCCTATGGGAAATGCAGATTTGACTTGAGAACTTTTTGACTTGAGAACTGCCTTCCAATACGGATTAAGTTCTCAAGTCAAGACCCCACTGTATGTCTTTAGTATTTATTCTGCTTTTGGAATTACGGGGGTAAGCATAACAAGTTGTTAAGAGTTCACTTCTCCAGGAAGAAGATACAGATACCAACTGTATCTTAGATATTATACAGATATTAACAAGTATTATTTCAGTCTGGATCCTAGCAAATGATGATGAAACAGTTTAGATGTTGTGCCTTGTAGAATTCTCATCTGAATGGAATTCATTTTTCTCTTTCAATTAATCATACTCTAGGCAGAAAGTTGAAAATACTAAATTCTTTTAAAATGTACCATCCTGGAAATATCAGTTAAGATGCATCTAAGTCAACACTTGAAAATATCCCTCCAGATATCAGAATGTCAAATGAATATTTCAAAATTTCATGTGAAAAAGAAAAGTACACCCTCTTTGAATTATATGGTTTTGTATCCTTAGCAGGTGTGAAAATTAGGTAAATACAACATCAGAGGAACAACAATACATGACATATTATACTGTCTCATTTATTTAACAAAAATAAATCCAAAATGGAGAACCCACGTGTGAAAAACTAAGAACACCTTATGATTCAATAGTTTGTAGGACCACCTTTAGCAGCAATAACCTGAAGTAATCATTTTCTCTGTGAGTTTATCAGCCTCTCACATAGTCGGGGAGGAATTTTGGCCTACTCTTCTTTATAACGTTGCTTCCATTCATTGAGGTTTGCAGGCATTTTTTTTATGCACAGTGCTCTCAAGGTCCCACCACAGCATTTCAATTGGATTGAGGTCTGGCTTTTGACTGGGCCATTGCAACACCTTGATTCTTTTCTTTTTCAACCATTCTGTTGTAGGTTTGTTGGTGTGCTTGGGATTATTGTCCTGTTATATGACCCACTTTTGGCAAAGCTTTAGCTATTGGACAGTTTGCCTCACATTTGACTCTAGAATACTTTGGTATATGGAGGAATTCATGGTTGACTCAATGACTGCAAAGTGACCAGGTCCTGTGGCTGCAAAAGAAGCACAAATCATCACCCCTCTGCTAGTGTACTTGACTTGGTATGAGGTATTTGTGCTGATATGTTGTGTTTGGTTTTTGCTAATCGTGGTGTTGTCTATTGTGGCCAAACATCTCCACTTGGGTTTTCTCTGTCCAAAGGATATTTTTCCAGAAATCTTGTGGTTAGATGCAACTTTGCAAACCTAAGCCATGCTGCCATGTTCTTTTTGGAGAAGAGAATCTTTCTCCTGGCAACCCTTCTAAACAAACCGTACTTCTACAATCTCTTTTTAATTGTAATGTCATGAACTTTAACATGTAACATGCTAAAAGAGGCTTGTAGAGTTTGAGGTTTTTGTTTTTCCTCCCCAATTTCTCAGAGCATTGCATGGTCTGACCTTGGGGTGAATATGCTTGGACACCCAGTCCTGGGAAGACTGGGTAACCAAACTCTTTTGCATTTCTTAAATGTTGTAAGGTTGTGTCTATAATGCATTCTAAAAAGTTCTGAAATATAATAAATCCATCCCTATTTTTCTCTGAATTGGACTTTATGGATACAGTTCATGCATACATGTATTTTTAAACATGGTGTAGTGGTATGGGAGCCAATATTGTGAAGCTGAGAGCTGTGTGTGAATGTGTGAACTACATTAGTGACTTCAGTCAGATGTTTTTTTCTTGTGAAGGCTATATCCTAATTCCTCTTGGGTTGCTGATGGTTTAGAAAATGCTGTAGCAGGGGTATGTGATAACACTACACAATACATGTTCATCTGGAAATTGTGTTGCTACTAGTCACCAACTGTAGTTGCTGAGAATACCTCCCACACAACTGCAGTTGATTAATTGTACTTTTTCTGTCCAAGAAGGTGTCCTTTCTGACCTCCTTTTGCATAATTCAACAGTCATTATGCTTATAAAAACATAATAATGCAATAGTAATTTTTAACCCATGTAAGAAAACAATTGAAATTAAAAATAAATGTAATGTCAGAAGAGAAGCATCCTTTGGTTTTAAGTAGCAATGCAAAATTCTCACGAAGCTAATATATTAAACCAGAGGCAAGGAACCTTTTTCTATTGAGGCAGCTATAGAGCTATGCACTAGCTGCAGGCAGAGTAACAACTCCAAATAATCAGTTCCTTGCGATACAATGTTTCTATAACAAATTAATGAAGAATTATTTGTTCTTGTTACCATCCAGCAGGAAAAGTGGGAGGCACCTACAAGTAAGCTAGCCATTAATATAAATGGTATAAACATTTCTTTTTGTGACCGAAGCTAGGAAATGATTTTTAAAAGAAATTTGTTGCTTGCTGCCATTCTCCATCTCTGAAATAATTCATTAACATTATTTATTTTGAGAGTAACTCTCTTAGTAACAGGTAATTTTTTGTTACTGTCAGTTAGTGTGCTTTTTTAAAAAGCACTTAACATATACAAGCATAGTCGCAAATGAAACCCTCAAAGCAACATTTTTGGAGTAATAAAAAAACTGAATAAATATTACAAGTTCTTTACTTCTGTGTACTATATTAGTTGCAGGAGCAATGAAGTGAGAAACATTTACGGCATTGGCAAATGAAATGTTCAGGACATATTATTTCATTTTTGCCTGATGTGGCTTCTGTAAGCAAAGTTACTTCTTTTTGTATAATTCATTGTTTCTTAGCAGTAATACAATTTCTAGCTGATCTACGTATTTGCCAGTATTTCCCACTGGCTTGTGTTCCATTTTCAACTTCTATATCATTCACTGATTAGGCTTATTTTTTAAATTTGTTAAATTCACACTAAACATTAATGGACAGACTTCAGTTAAATTCTGACACTGTGGAAGACATTTTTACATGAAGTTTCAGCATTATGAATATGGCTTGAGATTTTATGCCAGCATGCTCTGGTTTCTCTTTAAATTGTGGAATAGTCTTTTTTTTTCACTAAAGAGAGCCTTGTTGGTACAGTAGTTAAGCTGCTGTACTGCAGCCAAAACACTATTCATGACACAGGGTTCAATCAAGGTTCACTTAGCCTTCCATCCTTCGGAGGTGGGTAAAATGAGCATCCAACTTGCTCAGGGAGGGGCAGAGTGTAGCCCACATAATTAACTTGTAAATCACCTAGAGAGTGCTTTAAGCACTATAGGGCGGTATATAAGCAGCACACTTTGCTTTTGCTTTTAAAGATCACATAATTATTCTGGTACCAAATATGAAATTATTGCTTCTATAAGGCAGAACATTTCTCAATACTTTTTAAAAATTTGTTAATTGCTTTCATTTATCTGTAACATGACTTCTAACTTGAGTATTCATGTTCAGTAGATTTTTTTGTTTATTTAATTCTTTTTTTCAGAAGGATCTCCCACAGAAAGCCCAAGGACCAGGTTACAGAAGAAATCAAAAGATTATAAATTATTTTCATGGATACAGGCAAGGAGACAATGGTACTTCAACCTGTGCTTCAATCTGTGCAAGCTCCTTGAAGAGAAAATCTGCAGTGGAGGCATCATGAAATGTAATGTAACTTCAACAGATGGTCAGAGGGTTTTGAGGGTGGTGGTGAAACTATACGTCTAGCTCCCTCTATCTTGTGAAATTTTTGCATATTTTTTCTGTTTAAATATTGAGGAGAAGGGAGAATATTCCCAGAACAATAACGCTCTATTCAAAACTCACTTAGTAAAATAAATGTGCTGCTCCTGTATTCCTTAGCAGCTACTGTTAATTCATTTTTTTCTCTTGCAAGAACATACAAAGTTGAGTACTTATTTTTTTCTTAATCAGAAGTGTGCATTGTCCACATTAAAATTCATTCTCCAGAGATGAGACCATTCTACAGCTGGCTGGTTAATAATATTTTGTTATGGAAGATGAACAGTGGACCTCTTCTTGTATTTTAATTCAAATGAACTTGGACAATTTCATTTGAAGAGAAGTAAAGTATTCTGGTCTCTCTCTGTATGTGTGCGCACGTGTGTGCATGTGTGTGCTACCTTCTTATGATGTGTATGTGCTCTCCTTTCTATACATGAACTGTATATGCACACACACTCCACGGAACATTACTTCTGCAGTCCCATTCACATTCTTCTTAATTTCAGCATTCCTTATTAAAGGGGTTTTGTAAATATATTAATCCAGATACTTAGAGAATCCTCTTCAGACCTTTGCAGTCAGTGCACATAGATTTCTTAATTGTGAGTGGACCTGGAATTCATGGGGCTGAAGCCCGGGGACTTTCTGGAGAAACTATGATATCATAGAAAATGTCAAAGGAGTAGAGCCATCTTGTATACTGTGGAGCAATCTACACCGTCTTGGAATGCTCACAGAAGGGGCAATGGTAAATCACTCACGAGAAAACCCTGGAAGGGGTTGCCTGGAAATCAGAATTGACTTGAAAGAGACTGATTAACATCAAGGTCTGCTTCACAATTGTTCACATGCAGTAGTCAAGCTACCTGCATGTTTACAGTCTTCTTATAAGGTGGGAGGGTTATGGAGTCTGTTATGATGAAAATTAACACTTCCAGATTTATCACTACTCCCTTCTTAGTGCTGCTTCATGTGTGGCAATATTTCAAGGCTAGGCTTACATGAACCTCCAGGTTTCTGCCATGTATTATTGCTGCACAAGAGTGCAGAACAAATAAACGTTCTACGAAACAAGTCTAAAAATGAGGGTATCCCAAATGAAAAATTATAACTTTGAAACTTAACTTCAGATCAGCAACAGATTTGACACAGAGGTAGCAGAGTCTGCTCTTGCGCTGTGCCTAGTTTGAGGGAATTTGAGCAAAGGGTTTTTGAGTTACAGTTTTTTAAAAATTATAACTGTTTCCCTCTGTGCAGAAGCATAAAATTTCTCCAGATTTAAAATAGCTCCTATAAATTGAAAAGACTAGTCTTGCTTACCTTGGTTGATCCCACCTGCTGTTTATTTGGAAAGAACCCACCCACACATACACACACATAAAAGCCTTTCAAAAAAGAAAAAGGGTAACTTTGTTATAAACTGAGCATAAATATCAGTGAAGATTGTCAGTCCTCCAGGTGAGGTTATCTGGAAGTTGAGTCATGGCAACTGGATTTCTTTCTTATTAGGTTGGAATGTTTTGCTACTCATCCAAGTAGCTTCTTCAGTCTGAGGAGAGCCTGTAGGAGATCCCTGATATATCCTCCACGTTTGGTTTGCGTCCATCTGGTCTGAATAGGCTTGTTAGATGGACAAAAGACGGGTGGGGGGGGTGTTGAGCGAAAATCCCATTTCTGCATTGTCATGGGTCTTTAACAATCATTAACAGCGGTCTTTCTGGTGTGTGTGGTCCTGATCTTTCTGGGAATGGATGAAAGAGGACCATGATAAATGGAGATCCCTGATATATCCTCCATGTTGGGTTTGCTTCCATCTGGTCTGAATAGGCTTGTTAGATGGACAAAAGACAGTGGGGAGGTTGAGTGAAAATCCCATTTCTGCAGTCCTTCTCCACCCATTGTCATGAGTCATTAACAATCATTAACAGTGGTCTTTCTGGTGTGTGTGGTCCTGATCTTTCTGGGAATGGATGAAAGAGGACCATGATAAATGGGAGACAGATTGTATATAAAGCTTCCACCCCTATTGAGTTGGGATTTTCTATATACATGTATATGGCCTCCCTGACTCCTCTCTCAAGCCACCTATCTTCTCGGTCCAAAATGAGTACATCTTGGTCATCAAATGAGTATCCTTTGTCCTTGAAATGAAAGAATACTGCTGACTGTGGTCCTGAGCCATTGACCCTCTTGAGCTGGGCCATTCTCCTGTTTTATAGCTGTTTGCTTTCTCCAGTGTAGAGCTCCGAATACTCCTCTTTGCATACAAGTGGCTGTAGAAAATCCCTCACTTAATAGGTGTGAAGGCCTTAGATACATACAATCTGTCTCCCATTTACCATGGTGCCCTTTTATCTGTCCCCAGAAGGATTAGAAAGATCAGGACCACACCCACCAGAAAAACCACTGTTAACTACCCATGACAGTGAGTGGAGAAGGACTGCAGAAGTGGAATTTTCACTCATCCCCAGTACTTTGTCCATCTAATGAGCCTATTCAGATGGGAGGAAGTGAAACCAATTGGAGGATATATCAGGGGTCTTCTACGAACTCTCCTCAGACTGAAAAAGCTACTTGGATGAAGAGCGAAACATTTCAACCTAATAAGAAAGATGTCTAGTTGCCATGACTCAACTTCTAGAAAACTGAGCATAGGTGTAACAGGCTTGCCAGCAAAAGCATTTCAAAGTAGATGCACTGTTTCAACTTCCTGCCAAGAAGGCAGCAGGGCAACGAAAGACCACAGACACAGAGTCAAAAGACAGTTTTCTCTGAAGAGTTAAAGAAGAAGAAGAGCTTTAAAGAAATGGAGTCCTCCAGAAAGGAATATTTTGCCATATACCTTCATGAAATTAGCATACAATTTTGTAAGGCATATTCAAACTATTTCTGCAAACTATCTTTGCCATTCATACTTGTTCAAAAAGATCCCTTATCATTGCTTTTGTGTTTGGGTAAGAAGCAGTTACTCCTTCATGGATTGCTGCCTTGTCGTGGTGAAGGGACTTGAGTAATTCAGAGAAGCTATGGGCTATGCCGTGCAGGGACACCCTAGATGGACAGGTCATAGTGGAAAGGTCCGACTAAATGCAATCCACCTGGAGTAGGAATTGGCAATGCCACTCCAGTATCTTTGCCAAGAAAACCTCATGAACAGAAACAAAAGGCTAAAAGATATGACATTGGAAGATGGGACCCAAAGGTCGGAAGGCATTCAACATGTTACTGAGGAAGACCAGAGGACAAAGACATGTAGCTCCAGAGCTAATGAAGTGGTTGGGCCAAAGCTGAAAGGACGCTCAGCTGTGGACGTGCCTGGAAGTGAAAGGACAGTCTGATGCTGCAAAGAAAAATAATGCATAGGAACCTGGAATGTAAGATCTATGAACATTGGTAAGCTGGATGTGATCAAACAGGGGACGGCAAGAATAAACATTGACATCCTGGGCGTCAGTGAACTAAAATGGAGAGGAATGGGTGAAT